AAAATTGGGAGTTCATAACCCACTTCAATCTAATGTATGAAATATGATATGTCAAGAGCTTTGTAATGTTGTGGACAACCAATAAAAAAAATAAAAAAATTAGATACAGCAAAAAAAAAATAAACTACAAGTATGAAAGAAAGAAAAAGAAAAAAAGCTTAATAAAATGCTATTTATAAAGAGTCTAATGTAAAGACACAAATAGCTTACAAGTAAAAGGACGAATACACCTAGAGGGCATAACAATTCTATTTATGCCCTGATCACAACTGATAGAAATGAAGTAAGAAACCCATGAAAACACTATAACAGTCAACATCCCTCTCATATAGAAAGTAGACATAAACTGAATAAGCATGCAGAACGTAAGAACAATACTATCATTCAATTTGACTATACATTGATAGAAAAATCCAATAAAGAACAGAACAGATTTTTTTTCAAATGTATTTAGAACATTGGTCAAGACAAACCATATTCTGAAAAAAAAAATTTTAAAAGAAAATCCAAGCCATACAAATTACGTCTACTGAATTAGAATCTCGTGCTAACTAAGTTACTAAGGACAGAATTATATTCTTGAAAACTGCTGAGAGAGTAGTGTTATGATTTGGATGTAAGTTGTCCCCCAAAAGCTCATGTGTGAGACAATGCAAGGTTTGGAAGAGAAATGACTGGGCTATAGGCTTAACCTAATCAGTGAGTTGATCCCTGATGGGATTAAATGAGTGGATACTGGAGACAGGCTATGAAATATGTTTTACATGTGGATATCTGGAACCAAAGAGTTTTCTGATCACCATGTGAGCTGCTTTACTCTGCCACATTCTTCTGCCTCACTTTGCGCCCCAAGGAATGGAGCTGGCTTTCTATGAACGAAAACTTCTGAAACCATGAGCCCCCAATAGGCTTTTCCTCCCCTAAAATTGTTCTGATCAGATCTTTAGTCACAGCAGTGAATAAGCTGAATAAAAATGAATATATTTTTAAAAGTGTTTTTATTGGGGCTGGGGATGTGGCTCAAGCCGTAGTGAGCTTGCCTGGCGTGTGCAGGGCGCTGGGTTCGATCCTCTGCACCACATAAAAAAATAAATAAAAAATAAAGATGTTATGTCCACCGAAAACTAAAAAATATTAAAAAATTCTCTCTCTCTCTTAAAAAAAAGTGTTTTTGCTACAAAAAAGGGCAAAATACATGATAAAATGTTAATTTAGCTTCATTTAGTCATTGTAAAACGTACATAATAATAAAACATCATGTGGCACATATCAAAATATATGTGGTATTCGTCAATTTAAAAAATTTGAAAAATTAGAAATCATCAATATTACAGTATCTGGAAAAAATCCTCAGTAGTATCTGGGAATCAAGCAACACACTTTTAAATGACTCGGGGGTCAAAGAAATCTGATGAAAGATTATGAGGTGGTTGGTGTAACACAGAATACTGTATGCAGTAAACTTTTTTTTAATAAGTAGAATGAATGCACTCTAAAATATTAACACCAAAAAAGTATAATAAACACATATACCAGAACATAGATGCTCATTATCATTATTGATATTATGTGCTGCTTTTAATTGTATGTGCTATGCTTTTATACAACTGTCAGTGCTAGAAGTTTGTTTATAATAGCATCACCACAAATAGGAGTAATGTGTTGGTTGCACAAAGATATTACAATACTTTATATTTCTCATATGAAAATTATATTACAGATTATCTCCTGATTATAAAATGTTTCAGAATACACCTAAAGTTTGGTAGGTTGGTGTTTTGGTTTTTGTGTGTGTGTGTGTGGTGCTGGGGACTGAACCCAGGGACTTGTGCAGGCAAGGCAAGTACTCTACCAAGTGAGCTATATCCCCAGACCAGGCACCTTAAGTTTGGATTCCTAATTTGTAATTATATTCTTAGTGTCCTTTTAGTCATGTCCATTTTGGACATATATACCATATAACAGATGGTAATGTGATCTCTAAGATAAATCACTGTCCAAAGTCCTAAGTCTAATACTCGTTCTCACTAAGCAATAAATATGTATTAACAAAACAAACAAACAAAACCCAACCAATTTCCAAACTTTTAGTTCAGTCACTAATAATAAAAATCTCCAGAACTGTCACTAAAAATGAAAGGTTGATTTTTGGGGGGTGGGGGGAGGAGGGTGCTGGGGATTAAATCCAGACCCTTGTATATGCGAAGTGAACACTCAACCAACTGAACTATATCCCCAACCCAAAGGTTAATTTTCTAAATCTGAGAAAATAAAGGTTGTTTCTTGATGAAAATCTCACATATGGTCTTTATAATATAATTCATTTTTTGCATTTCTAATAAGATAACTTATAAGCAGTAACTCAGCACTGAGTAGGATAGTAGTTCCCACACAAACCTCTAGTTTTATCATTTTAAATTGATTCCTGCATTTACTATAACAATTTCTTTTAAGAAAGACTGAAATTTTAAAAAGCACATTAGGAAACAACTGGAAGATGTTTTCAACAAGACATGCATCCAAAGTGCAAGCAATTACACCCAAAGATAATGTTTGTCAGGTAAAAGAAAATGGCTTACCTTAATAAGAGCTGAAATGCTATGCTCTACAATTTTCAGTCAAGCAAACTACAACCTACTTATTTACATAGCTTTATGAACAAAAATGTAGTCACTGTCTACTGTATATTGTGTTTCTTACATCAGCTTTACAAGGTTGGAAGGACATAAAAAAGAAAAAATAAATTTAGTCAATATGATGTTAGGGAGTTGCTAATTGCTATTCCAAGAAGAAAAATGACTAAAAAGACACTAAAAATATAATTACAGACCAAGAGTCTAAATTTAAGGTATCTTCATTTTTGTGATCAGGAGACCATTTACAGAACACCTGTCCAATCTTTTTATCTGAGAGTATTGTACAAAACAGAATTTGGAATCAACATCTCAAGTGGTATATATTAACTCCCAAAAAAGTGCTCACAACTGACTCTGCATCCCAAATAAAAATAAACACATATAAAGAGTAATTCAAAATACACAATGAACCCATCTTTCCAAATTCTATGTACATAAAGTGTATTTTTATGACTACATAAAGGAAATCTAATAACTTTTATACAAAGACCATATAGGTATATTTTGTATTGGATAGCAAAATCCCTTAGTTCTATCATTCAAATCTAAAGAAACTGATATTTAAATTTTATTAAAGCTTTCAGATTACATATAGTACAAAGTCAAACACACACAGAAACCCTAATTTTAACCTTATAGGAACTCTTAGGATATACATATAAAATTCTGCCCAAGCCTAATGACATTTTCAAATATACTATTTTGTTACTTGAGGACAATGGGGAAATTAAGTTTCCAAGAGGCTCTTACCTGTATAATGCATCATCAATTTCCACAGATTCTGTTGACATGATGGGCAAATTTTTACTTGCACTGAGAGGAAAAAATAACAAAAACACTAAATCTTTAAGTATGATATGGTTATTAAATACTCACAATTTAGAATGCAATACTCAGTTATACATGGCATCAGACTCATGATTTACTGAAGAGTTTTAGATACCAAATATATCATTACCTATCATTGATTTTTAAAATGTATTAAAATTAAAATTTATTAATTACTTGCTTTATCTTTTGTGTACTAAATTGTACAGCCCATGATTGTTTTATTCTGAGGTATTTTGTTATTGCTCATTTATTCTCATGGATCTATATTTTTAACAATTTTGTCCCTCGAACCTTTTCTATAAGCACACTCTTCCTAAATAAACTCATTTATTCCCAAAGAATTAACCATATGCTATAACATATGCATATAACATAATAACCTATTTCTTTATGTATGATTTTTTCTGTCCTACAGATTTCATACACCTGCCAAAACAACTATATTCTGATATTTAACTGGTATCCCAAACATTAGGAACCCAAACAGAATTCAATACCCCCTGCCTCTCATGATACGCATAAAGGAAGCAGTTAAGAAACATCTGTTGAATGAATTTTAAAAATTAAAAAGAAAAACTAAAAAACTTATTAGAGTGACAAAATATATATACTTCAGTGATATATTATGTACAGTAGTGTGTCCCAATTTTTCCACAGCACAGTACACAAAGCAAAATCATATCTGTAGGAAACATGGGAAGCAGAAATGGCTTGTAGACAATTACCCAGCCTGGGGTATTGAAGCCTGAGCTATAGTGAAAGCTGAGATTAGTATCATCTTGGCAAAAGTGCAATCCAAACATGGATCTGGGAAGCAAACTATTATCAATTATAGGGTTCTGAAAATAATGTGATACCAGGAAATTTGAGTCTTATTTTTAAAGCCTGACATTGATAAATAAGCCAAGGGGTTTGTAAACACATGTGATTAAAATGTTATCAATTACTTACCAACACTGATTAGCATCATCAAATGATATCAGCTTCTAGTTAATTAAATGGATAACTATTACAAAACTCCTGACTGCACTCATGAAAGCAAACCAGAAGATAGCTGCATTCTAAGAGATCACCTAATAATAACAATGTACACACACAATATACTGTTTTGGCATTCTAATAGAATATACAAATAAACATTTTCATTATACAGTTTCCTATTATAGCTACTACACTTGCATGTTCCTCTTCCTTGCATGGGACACAATTATTTTAGTGAGTAAACTTGCTTAGTAAAAATAAGAACTATATTCTAACCAGCCTGATTCTTATGTTTACAACTGGCACTTACTTTTTAGAAAGTTCTGCCTTACTGAACGTTTTAATAATATCTTTTAAAATACTAAGATTTGTAAGACAATAAAAAATATTTCACCTTAAGGGGCAGCTTTGTTTTTATTACCTATTATCTCTCAAGTTAATTTGACCTGAAAAGGGCAGACAATACCATGGTATTTAAAATATCCTTCAGTCTGAAAGTAATGGAAACGCTACAGGTATATAAACAATGTCATACTACCTAAAATTAATACATCCATCATTTCTATATTTGATAAGTTGTATTATGACAAAGGGCAGGATACATGCTTCATGAAAGAGGAACTACTAACTAAAATCTTGGTAAGGGCCTAGGCAGGGTCATCTCCCGCCTTAATTCTGCAGGGGCGGAAACGATGCAAAGGAGAACAAGATTAACCAACTGGGATATATGAATAGGTATCTAGTATATTTTGTCCCTGGCTTTCCCCAACCCCTTTTCACCATAGTCAACAGAGGCTTCAGGGTGCCCTGACTGCTACTGATTCATCCTTACTTGTTCGCTCTGGCAATAGTTTTCAAAGGATGATTCCACTGGAGGATAATGCACCGTGGCGCTCTTAGCTTTCATTTAACATAAAACGAAGAGAAAGGTGATTGGCACCTGGCAGAGAAGCTCACAGTGAGAGACTTAGGCCAGACTAGCTCTGGTCAGAGCTCATCACGTCAGTTAACCAGGAGGAAGCAGGATGCTGGACCCTCACCGGAACTGAAAAAGCCCAGAAAGAGGCGGGACGAGGACTTTCGCCTTAGGAAAAGTCGTGGGCTGCAGAGGCCCAAGCGCGCGCTGCCACACCCACCCCGCACGCTCCCCTGGCCTCCCAGGAAAGGCTCGCCTCCCGCGCGCTCCCTGCCCGCCCGAAGGGAAGTAGAGTGCTAGAGTCCGGGTCCTGCAGCCCCGCAGCCACATCATCTTCTCACCTGCTGGTTCCCCAGGAAGAGCAGGAAGCCTCTTCCCCGCGAGGCGCGGTCACCAGATCCGATCCCTCCATAATCCGCCAAAACGCCACAGCCGCCGGCTATGGGAGGGAGGCTAGGGGGCGGGGCCGCGGGGGGTCAAGGGGCGTGCAATGATGTCATCAGAGGGGGCGGGCCCGGAGAAGCTGGGAGTCCGGCGGCGTTTTCCCGTCAACCCCAGGGACGTCCTGGCTTCCGGTTTGGGTGTGGCCGTAGGGCGGTCTTTGCTGCAGGTGAGTGAAGTGGCCGGCGTTACCGAGCCCGGACCTGTCTCACGCAAACGTAACTAAGACACTGAAGTTACCTGTCACTCTGGCTGTAGAAGCCACATTTACAGGACTCTAGCGACCCGCGAAATTTGGAGACTGCTTTGCAAATCCTTGGTTTTATAGCAAGTAGAGGAAACTCCTTTGTTTTATTAAAAAAAAAAAAAAGCTGGTGATAGCTCCAGATTTGGGGTTTCCATTTGAATAATTTTGGCCTGCATGAGAGGCGCTGTCATATATTTAATAGAATCAGGTGGCTTTTAGAGCTATGAAGTTTTCCCCCTTTATTTTATGGGTGAAGGAAAAGAACTTCTTGATTTTTGTGGCTTGGACAAGGTCGTAGAGCTAATCCATGTCAGATTACCAGAACACATGTTTTAGTAAAGATTGCTCATTTAAATATCTTTCCATTGACTTCCATTTTATTCTTTTTTGGAAAACAGTTGGACACAATCACATAATTGAAAAGTCTGCAGGATTTTTAAAATGGGCATATACTTTGTATATTACATAATTTTATGTAATGTATAATAGTTTTACTTAATTAGAATTTCTTCTCATGAAAATAAGGGGAAAGATAAAACCGTTTTATCCTTTGGACCTCTCAATTCTGTTTTCAAAATTGCATACCTGAAAAACTTGGAAACCTCATGTTCTTATTTGGCATCATGGATACTCACTTATGAGACAGGTTTCTCAATTCAGTTGTGGACTTTTTCCACATAACCATTAAAATGAATTTGGTTTATGTCCTATTCTTTTAAGGTTCTGCTCTAACACTAGGTTTATCCTGTCATTCTCCTTATTATAAAGTTAGCAAGTATAAATATTTTTGGCTAAACCATCCCCACAGACACGTCAGTTTCCCTGGTTTCCCCATTCCAATTTCCCTTTCCTATTTCTTTTCTCCCTGAATATTTACTCAATGCCTATTAAACGTTAGGGCCTAGTGAGTAGATGGGTGAACAGGAAATAGTACACCCTAATTTCATCAGTATCACTATGGGAAGCCAAAAATAGAAAATAAATGCAAACATAATTATAGAAAGTAGTAAGTATGTTAAAGACAATAACGGATAAAGATATTGAAAAAGACTTGGAGGAGGTGTGGAGGAGACAATTTTAAATAGAGTAGTAATGGATGACTTCTTGAGAGAATGTCATTTGAGCCAAATCCTAGATAATGTGAGCCATGTGAAGATCTAGCAGAAGAGAATTTAAACAGAGGGTTTAGCATTTTATAATCTTATATTATTATAAAATTTTATATTTGTTTTGTATTGCCCCTCTCCCTTTCAAAAGGACTTATTTTTTTTCCTAGAGAAAGATTCACAGTATGAGGGAGATTCAATGTGAGAAAGATTTTCTATTGTTGGATTTGGAGAGGGAAGAAAGGGGCCATGTATTATGGCCAATAGGAGCTGAGTGTGACCTCTAGCTAATAGCCAAGAAAGGAAATGGGAGTCTGGGTCTACAACAGAAGAAACTAAATTTGTTAACAAGTTGCATGTGATTGAAGAAGACTCTGAAACTTCAGATCATAATGTAGTCAGATGATACCCTGATAGACTGTTCAGAGTCTATAAGACTCTGAATAGAGACCCTACTGATGCTATGACTGTATTCTGAGGTATACAACTGTAAGCTAATAGATTTGTAGTTTTTTTTTTTTTTAGTTACTACGTTTATGGTAGTTTGTTATGCAGCAATAGAAACAGAGTTTATTTTTTTATTTTTTTATTGGTTGTTCAAAACATTACAAAGCTCTTGACATCTCGTATTTCATACATTAGATTCAAGTGGGTTATGAACTCCCATTTTTACCCCAAATACAGATTGCAGAATCACATCGGTTACACATCCACATTTTTACATAATGCCATATTAGTAACTGTTGTATTCTGCTACCTTTCTTATCCTCTACTATCCCCCTCCCCTCCCCTCCCATCCTCTCTCTCTACCCCATCTGCTGTAATTTAATTCTCTCCCTTGTTTTTATTTTCCCTTTCCTCTCACAACCTGTTATATGTAATTTTGTATAACAATGAGGGTCTCCTTTCATTTCCATGCAATTTCCCAGAAATAGAGTTTATTGTACTTTATATAGGAGCCATATTTCTTCACACTGTAACATTCCTGAAACCGAAATGTATATATTTTCTCATGTATCATTATGGAATATAACGGTATACTTTATTAGTCAGTTTTCCATTGTTGTAACGATTGCCTGAGATAATCAACTTAAATGGAGTAAAGTTACAGAGGCTTCAATACCTGGTCACTTGGCATTGTTGCTTTGGGTCCTTATCAGCACAGTGTCACAGTGGGAATGTGGTAGAAGAGCCCTGGTCATCTCATGGCAGCTGAGAATCAAAGAGAGAAGAAGGATCCAGGATCCCAGTATCCCCTTAAAACTCAGGCCTTCTGTGACTAACTTTCTTCAATTAGGCCCCACAACTTAAAGATTCTGCTACCTCCCAATAACATATGGGGCTAGGGACAAAGCTTTTAACACATGGGCCCAAACTATAGCAGAAAGCATCTTAGATTTGATGAAATATGGTAAAAATTATTTGAAACATAACAATATAACAGGAACCTAATGGGAAAATAATTATAATATCACCAGACTGTTTGACAGTGAAGTTTTATGCCAGAAGAAAGATAACATATTTAGAATATTGAAGGGAAAAAACTTTAAATCAAGGATTTTGTATCTAGTAAAACCAACTCTTACGTTCAAGAGTGCAAATGTTTATCCTCATTTGATATGATATCAGCATCTCATTATATTGTCATTTTAATGAACCTCTCTTGAATGATTATTACAAAATGAATTTATAGCAACCAAAAGAAGTTGACAAATATTGGCATGGGGATTGCATCAAGCTCTTCATGGTAAATCTATTGTGTTTATTAGCTTTTGTATTTCACCTACCATATTTTTGCTTACTAATTTTCCTGCATTGTCATCATATTTCCAAGTTTTTCTAATTCTGAATCATGTTCTTTTATGTGTTGTACCATATTCTTAATGTCATTTAGCCAGTTTCCAAAGAGTAACTTATAATTTAGTTCAATTTTGTGGCATTTCTTTCAGGCATATTTACATTGTCTGTGATAATGATATTATGCTCCTCATTATCTTTTTCCATGTAGCTTTGCACTAGATTTGTACTGATGCTCTTTGTTGTTATTGCTTCACTTTTTATGTGGAATTAGTATTCTTGAATTTTTAGTATAAAGATTTTAGTTCAACAAGCCTAAATCTTCCAGGAATAAATTCTATTTTGAGAAAGTCGGGTACATGGCAAGAAGAGAGTGCACATTCCTAAGGAATCATGGGATGCTACACGAAACAAAGGAAAAGTTAGATTTTGAAGGAATTTGGAAAAGTGTGGATTTTAAGATATTAAAATGAAATAGCATTTTGGTAGGTCCAAAAGACTCTATGTAAAGCAGTCCATTTTAGATCTGAACTGTAACACGGACACAAGACTCTGTATTCTTGGAAACAGTTCAGTTAAAATAGAAATAGAATGTGTCCACAAACATCTTTTTTTTGTTTTTTATGTGTTGGGGGTTCGTACTGGGATTGAACCTCTACCACTGAGGTACAGACCCAGCCCTTTTAATTTCATATATATGTGTGTGTGTGTGTGTGTATAATTTTTAAAGAGAGAAAATTTTTTAATATTTATTTTTCAGTTTTTGGTGGACACAACATATTTTATTTTATTTTATGTGGTGCTGAGGCTCGAACCCAGTGCCCCACACATGCCAGGAGATCACGTTGCCACTTGAGCCACATCCCCAGCCCAATATATATGTTTTTAGTTGTAGTTGGACACAATACCTGTATTTATTTAATTATTTATTTATTTATATGTGGCACTGAGGATCAAACCCAGTTCCTCACATGCGCTAGGCAAGCATTCTACCTCTGAGCCACAACCCCAGCCCCCCTTTTCATTTTTTATTTTGCTACAGGATCTCCCTGAGTTGTCCAGCCTGACCTCAAATTTGGGAACCCCCTGCCTCAGCCTCCTGAGTTGCTGGGATTACAGCCCTGTACTATGGCACCAGAAACAAACACCTTTTTGAGGTTCTGCAACTTGTTTGGAAATACAGGCTGTTTGTCTGTGTCCAGGTGATTTAGATTTTCTAGCTAAGAATGAGATGTTTATCTTAATGATAGAAGTTCAAACAGTAAAATTTTTGACAATTTATGATTTTTTTTAGAGAAAAGGGTTCTCTGTGGGTGAAAAATCAACAATAACTCAAATGGAGGGCTTTGCAACACTTTAAAACATGTTCTTGACAGGAACCTTTATTTTTGTTAACTTAGTATCTGACTTTGTCTATGTCTGTTATGGATACTTGATGAATGGCAAAGCACATTTTATTTTCTTAGTCCAAGCCCATTTTTACATTTTCATGGGAATCAGGAA